TCAAGATCTGATAGTAAAAGAGAAAAGCATAAAGAAATAAAATTATCTATTAAACCTAGCTTATGAAAATAATTCTGAATTTAATAGCAAGTGAAAATGCATGGACTGTGATCTGGTCCAATATGCCTGCAAATTCTCATTTTTAAAGTTAATGCAATTAAAAATCAATATTAAAATACACTTTTATTTCTTTTTTACTACTGTAATACTTAATCTATGTGATTTCTTACTTCTGTTGCAAACCTTGTTTGTAGATAGCATTGATGATCTGCAAAGTCTTATATTTTTACTACTGTAGATCTACTGATAAGTAACAGCCTGTAGGATATATTTTTAAAGCATTTGTCATCCAAGTTTCAATACACATGTAATACAAAGATCAACCTATTCAATAACAGTCAGTGAAGTTTTACATGAAACTACTCATTTGTATTTATATTTCTTTGCCTTGGTCTTCATGCCCCATCAGGCATCTTAGGCCTTTTGTGTACCTGAATTTCTAAGTGGGGATCAGGGGAATTAAATCCCTCCCAGAGTAAGAGTAGAGCAAGTTGAGACCATATCATGAGGCTAAATGTGTACAAGCATGTGGGGCCAAACAGCATGCATCCCAGTTGACACAATAGGGATGGGAGAGGACACCATCCAGAGAGATCTGGACACACTTGAAAAATGAACACACAAAAATCTATGAGGTTTAACAAGACTAAATGCAAGGTGTTGTACTTGGGTCGAGGAAATCCCAGTTGTAAGTACAGAATGGGAGAAGAACTTGAGAGCAATCCTATGAAGAAGAACTTAGGGGTCCTAATGGATAAAAAAGCTGGACGTGAGCCAACAGTGTGAGCTTGCAGCTCAGAAGGCAAACAATATCCTGGACTGCATCAAAATAAGGGTGGCCAGCAGGGCGAGGGAAGTCTCTGGGAAGACCTCACTGTGGTTTTCCAGTGCTTGAGGGAAGATTACAAGCAGGGGGGAGACCTAATTTTTACACGGTGTGATAACAATAGAAGAAAGAGGAATAGCTCTAAAATAAAAGACTGCAGATTTAGTTTAGATGTTAGGAATAAATTTTTTTTACTCAAGAGAGTGGTGTGGCACTAGAACAAGTTCCTCAGGGAGACTGTGAATGCCCTGATTCTGGAGACGTTCAAGGCCAGGTTGGATGGGGCCCTGGGCAGCCTAATCTAGTGGCTGGCAACCTTGCCCATGGCAGGGGAGTTAGAACTGAAAGATCTTTAATTACCCTCCCACCTAAGACATTCCATAATAATTCTATGATTCTGTGCATAGAATGGTATAATTCAAAGACAAAAAAAATGAAACAAAGCAATTCAAGAACGGAAGGATGCATATATATGAAATCTTAATTATTTTTGTAACTCCTGTGTTGCATCCTCATGAAGATTTTCAAGGGAACAAATCTTAGGATATGTTCCTTCAGTGGATTGACAATGCATCCTTTCTTTGAATGACAGAAAGTTCTGCTTGTGCTGTAGCCTGACAACACAAACTACAGAAAACCTGATAAGTATTTGACAAATCTCTTGGTACAGACTTTTCAGAGGAAAGAGAAGGAGGAATAATCTGTCCTCTCTAAAGATGTTATCATAATTTAGACTGGAAAAAGTGGCTAAAACTATGAAACTTGACACTGCATAACTTTTCCAGTTATTTTTCTTACCATTAAGTTATTGTTATGTCTGTATGATCCATCATGGTTACTGTATGTTGATCTTTCTCATAGTTAATATCAGCAATCGGTTGACTGACTGACAACTAATAGGTCTGCCTACACACTATGTAGAGAGAAAATAATCTTACTTAGATTTGACTACATCATTATTCAATTATTTTTTTTCATATTCTCCCAACACTGCATTAGTGAGGTCTGCCATCTTCTTTTGTCGCTATTGTCTTGTCTGCCCTGATGGCTCAGGATTTCCTGGAAGCTGCTGCATTTCTCAGCTTTCTGGTCGATACTGGAGGGTGGGCCGATTTTATGCTTGCAGTGCACTTGTGCTTGATCATCATGCTCAATCTCTAAGTTCTTTTTTTGCAACTGATAAGGAAAATCTGTAGAGTTCATGTTCTTTCACAAGTGGCTTTAGACAACCCATCCGTATGAAACACTGAAACTTTGCAGTCAGCCTTAACCTCACTATCATCTCCAACACCAGCTAGACCTAATAATGAAGAAAAATAGTTGTATATGGCTAAAAGTATAATTATCAGTTATAAGTTTGGAAACAGAAAGCTATCAGAAAGCAAACAGAAAACAATTCCAGCTGTCTGGATACTTGGCCTCTTGTGAAAACTCCTAGAGTTTTGCCCCTGTTCACTCTCCCCACTTTCTACCAGCCTGGATTCTTGCTCACACGTAGACTATGTTGATGAATTACATCATGTTTACATTGATTTTTCTGCTCTTGGAGACAGATTAATTGGGTATTTATAGGTGACTTCCTAGCTCAGTTACACAGCTAATGAGACAAACAACCTACCGTTTCTCACTCATTTTGATTTTTTTTTTTTCTTTTTCTTGTAGGGCTGCTTGCATCTCTTTTTAAATATGGCATGGAATATCAGTTATAAATAAGCTATTTCACCACTTCGATTTCATCTCTCTACTACTTCACGTCTCTACTAGGTTCCTATAGAAATCATGCATGATGTCTCACTAATACAGATGTGAACTTTAGCAACAAATTGTTCTTCCACGTCAACGTAACAAAGTTTATGCCCTTTCCTTTCCTGTTCCTATGTCCAGCATGATAGCACTCTTTATTCATTTTCTGTTATAAACAATCTAGGATTTCTGTTGCGTTTACGTGACATTTTCCATGTTTCTAGTTGTTTTCTTCTATATTCTTTGTATAGTGCATGAACACCCTTCACACGTCGGCCTTGAGTTGGACAAATCTTCTACCATTTGGCTGTTTGGGGGAATAAGATGCAGAATTTGTTTCAAATTGTGTTCAAATTTCTCTTAGCAATCCTAAGTCAGTATTTTAAAAAACAAGACAGATGCTATATGGGTGGTGAGGTACTGGAACAGGCTGCCCAGAGAGATTGTGGATGCCCCCTCCCTGGAGGGGATATTCAAGGGCCAAGTTGGATGGGGTCCTGGGCTGCCTGGTCTGATGGGCAGATTGATGGCCCTGCCTGTGGTAGGGGGCTTGGAGATTCATGATCCTTGAGATCCCTTTGAACCCGGGCCATTCTGTGACTGTAACACCCTCCATAAGGTGCTCATGAACAGAGCTGTATTTAGAAAAAGAAATCTCATATAGCTTTTCAGTTCTGAATGGTACAAATGTGGGGTAAAACAATCAATCAAAGAAAAACAAAACAAAATAATAATAAAAAACAACTGATCATTCTGGTACTAGATTTTTAATTTTGGGTGTAATTCAATCAAGATGCCCAGATGTTGAAGGATGGTTTTTAGTATTTAAATATTCCGGATTTTACTTTAAATCTGGCTCTAGTATATTTAGCTAATGCATCAATTTTGAATGTTTCTAATGTTTTTAATATAAAATAGATACCATTTTTAAGCATATACGAGAATAATATTACAGCATAAGTATGTATTATATATCTAATTTTTAAATCCAAATTTATATATGTATGTATGTATATGCATATTTATTTATGTGAAGCCTGTCCTTTTCAATTTTGATGGCAACATACAGATTATTTTTTTTTTAACCTTCCTTCTACAGTAGAAGAATGCTGTGCTAAAAATATACTTCTGTGCATTCTCAAGAATAATATCTAGGAGATCTCTGCTAGTCTTTTAATTATACTTTAACAACAATTTTGAAAAACAGTTGCGTATAATCATTGTCTTTGCGATTACAGCAGAATGTTCTTTCTCATTCTGCTGTTTTCTCATTTTGCTGCAGGTTGCTTATCTGTAGACTCATTCTAAAAAATAAGCTGCTTTTCATTAAGTGATTTCCAGCAATCAAATATGACAATTAAAACAAGTAGTATAAAAATATGTGGAGATTGGGAGAATTATTAGCTATTTTTCTTTATTTTACTAGGTTCAAAATGGGGAAACTAATTTTTCTTTCAAAGAAAATGCAGTATACACATTCTTCCAAAGGAATTGTAATTTTTCTTATGCTATTCACTTGATTTATTATTCACAAAGAACCTTTGAACAGAAGCTGGCCAATGCATAAGTCAAACTACTAACTTTAAAGAAGTTCTTTGGCTCTAGTTCTTATTGCGTTGTGCAAATCGGTAGGGAATATTGAAAGCATGTTAAATTTTGTATCTGGAAGTTAAATCAGATAAGTATAAACCTAGCAAAACATATTTTATAAAATGAAATCAAACACTTCACTGATATTATATGTTCTTTTTGTCCCAAGTGAAGCAGGAAATGTGTACTACTCATTCTCTCCTATATTTTTCATTGTTAATATTTTACTTACTGTTTTGTAGCTTGGAAAATAAATAAGAAAATTATTCAGTTCAATCTAACTTAATTTTAATATGGCTTAATATAATGATTGCCAAAAGATGTTGATTACACTTACTAAAATAGATGCAACATCAAGAAGGAAAATGACCTTAAACAAAAACCTTCTTATAAAATTTCTTCCACCTTGGGGACAAATTTCTGCCTTCTGAGGTAAGTCGCTTACTCCTTACTACCTCAGTATTCTGACCCTTAAGTAAGAGATGTTTGCTGCTGTGTTCTGGAGACTGTGAAATACATGCTTACAAACTCCTGGAAGTCCTTGGATGGAGTATGTTTCAGTTGAACAATGCTCTCTTTTGTCACTGGTTGATGACAATTATATCATCAGAGAGACTGATGGCGTATGTGCTAAATTTTCATTGATATAATTTGTAATGTTTTTTTTACAATGTTCTTGTAAAAAGAGAAAGATCTGATATCCAGACTTACTTTCTTCCAAAACCACTCTTACGTAGCTATATATTTTTTTTTAATAATTATTTTTTTCCTCCAGAAACTCCCGGTAACCTATCAGTGATGAGGAGGTAAAGTGGCACCTCTGGAGGATACAAATTACCAAAGCCAGCAAAATCGCCATGAGGAAGGTGCGGCCTTACAGCTAGTTAGTCTAGTCAGTAGGGATGTGACTTTCTGTGGTCAGTCTTGCTTTAAGCCAGTCTTATAAGTACTGAGGAGAGAGTTGTTTTCCTCATTATGCATTTTTTTTTCTATACCTGCTCCCCACAGTAGGAGGTATTGCCAGAATTAATAAGGAAGCAGTAATAATTACTTCTGGAAAGTAAAAATGCACATGACTAGGCAATTACATTATGATTTTTAAAATAAGAGTTTTTATTGTTCTGTTGTTGTTGTTGCTTGTTTCTGAAAAAAAAAAAAGAAATTCAAATTAAACTTGCATTTAGCTGAAATGAGTCTGTTACTGGTTAGGTATTTGATTATTTCAACATCTGTCTTTAACAGCTGAGAGTGCAGTTGCCTTGAGCAGAAGTCAGTGAGGTGAGAACAGATAGTGGAAAATAGACAAAAATTGCTCTCAGGCTACTTGTCACATTAACAAGAAGTCTCGTTGGAGAGGACAGAAGGTGTTGGACTCAAATGGTGGATGTAATGGTAAAATCAGATACACTGCAAAAAACTACTTTTGCAAGTAGAAATAATTCCAACTAGTAGCCATTTGATGTGAATTTTTCCCTCCCTAAGAATCATGAAGGTAAAGAAAAACACCGGTAAAGGGAAGTTGAGACTTCATCAAGCATCTTATGTTTTCCCCCCTTGCAATAGTCTCCCATGTATGCAAACATATATTTTCTTTAAGCAGAGCCTTTTTAAGTACAATTTATTCTATCTAATTTCCCCTAACATTTTCAGGACACAAGAACCCTGACACCAGTATCCTAAGAGACAGGTAAGATAACAAACTTTGACATTCAGAGAAGCAAAGTGATTTACTGTTATATTAAAATGTTCTTAAAAGTCCATGTTTTAACATTACTTTTCAGGGTTGTTTTTTTTTAAGGAACCCCATGATTTTTCTATTCACAGAGCAGATGATGATTCTGCCTGTGGTATCCCCTCCTTCCTTCCAGTATTGATCACTCATCACTTAAGCATTTTTCTTTTTTATTTTATTTATTTATTTATTTATTTTTCTCATGTTCCACACCTTCAAAACTAAATAGGGCAAGGAGAATGAGAAGTGCAGTCAGGCAACCTCTCATAATAACTTGAGCCCAGAGCTCTGCTGTTAATCCAGTCTCTCACAGATATGCCTTTATTTGCCCCCAGCTAGGATTAGGCTGGATACATAGATCACAAATGTGGCATGGGAGGTAAGAAAACAGGTAAATTAGTGATGTGTTAGATCAAACGAGGAACGCTTTGATATCTTAGAAGAATGAAGTAAGGAACATAGAACATTGCTGTTGCTATTTCTCATACAGAACAAAAACAAAACTACAGTAGATGATTGGCGTACGATCCCAAACCTCCTAGATGTGGTAGGAAGTGGAAAAAGACAAGGTAAAACTTTGTTGCACAACTATTCAAAAGATTTTCTTTCCAGAAGTAGTGAAGGACAACACCTCCATGACTGAAAGTATATGCCGTCTGCCAGCCCAGCACCTGCCTTCTGGCAGAATCCCCAGGACCTTAACCTTCAGAAGCCAAAATATCTGACAGGGAGAACATTCTCCTCTTAGTAAGACAGCAGGCATATTTGAATGATAACTACAGTTTCCTTTTACACTTCATATAACATAGATATCCTGCATCAAGAGAAAGGACAGAGCTTCTCAAAATAAAACAAATGATGCATGAACAGCAAGTAAAATATGCCATGTCATTTCTCTTCAAACCTAGAAGTGCACCATGCTTTGTTACACAGTGTGGTCCATTTCTTTCATCTCCTCTTGAAGAATGGTTAAAATACATAAAATACAAAAGAAGCAAAATTAGTGTCCCCAATCCTCATCTTTCAAAAGTGCCACAAAAAATAAATGGCTCAAATGAGACCCATTTGGAAAAAGTTTGAAGCAGGATCTCTCTGTTATACAAAGAAATGGTATTTCTATTATTTGAAAAGCTATTATTTCAATGTCATTGTAACTTAGAACTAATAGAATCTAATATGCAGCCATGAAAACTTTCTTAGTGAATGTATGGTCCTGTACGTATGGTCTAGAGAATAATGAATTCTGGTGCTTTTCTTTTGTTTTGGTCATAGTATCACAGACTGTCACAGAGTATCTGTGAGTAGTAGAGAGGATTTTTTTAAAAAAATAGTTTAACTATGGCTACTATTCAGTCTATTATGAGCAACAAAGGAAGGAAGATACCTTTGACTGGGAATATATGTGTTAAACAGAAACAAACCATTTTACTATCCTGAGAAGCAGATTGGAATTGATTGGAAAATAGATAGAAGGCAGGTGGGAAGTGTATCATTACCTACAATGCAATTTTATGAGTGTCAAACATGGATAACAGCCCTCCAATCCTCTAGCTAGCTCATATATTGTCCCCAGTGAGTGTCAACTCACCAGCCCAATATATCTCTCAGGTATCGAAGTTCTCTTGCACTCAAGTCTTGCAGATGCCTGCAGTCTGTCACAAATAATGGGGTAGTGAAATAAGCTATTAATGATTGCAAAAGTGTGGTAACTCATGATATAAAGTTCCCTACAATATGTAATGGAGCTCTTTAGTTTTTCTGAAAAAAGAGGATTATGAAAAGCAGATACACTTTTCAACCATAAACATTCTAAGAGGAAGAGAGTAAATCTACCAGCTAAAAGGGACATATAAATGATGGCAATATAACATGAAACTTTTTTATCAGATATTTAGAAAACTTCATTTTAAAAATTTACTAAAGATAGGAAGGATACCAGGGGCCCTCTTGCTTTGCATTTGAAAAATACCTGAATTTTGCAGATTTGAATTGATTTTAAGAATGAGAAGTGAGATTTCATGAATCATTACTATACTCATTGGTGTTTTAAATATCCTGCAATTATGATTAAAACAAAAACAAACAAACAAACAAAAACAAAACAAAAAACAACAACAGCAACAACAAAACAAAAGAAAAAACCCACAGTTACTAACTGAACTGTGGGGTATGTGCTAAAGGCCCTGCAGGTCTGTGCTTTCCTCTGCTGCTTATCTGTGGTGAAGATAGGTGACCTAAACACAGGTAGCTAAGAACTAGCATGAAAACTCTAGATCTTGTTAGTGATCTTGGACTGGTGCAGTGCTAGCACTGAAAGGAGCCTTGAGACAAAAGAAAAAAGAAATAATTAGTATTTAGCAATAAAACAGTACCATATATAAATTTATTTGTCTGTCCAGTTAAAAGCCCTTTCTGGCTTCTTCTAAATCCTCTCTTTAGGCTAGGAGATGCAGATTACAGTTATTTGCATCTTTAGTTTCTTCAAAAAATGGTATGTGGCAAGATTTCTGCTGGAGCACAAATCTTATCTCAAATTTCTTTGATGAGGGCTGTCTCTGAGGTTTTGAGACTTCTCAAAAGGGCAGAACACTGGTCAATGACCCGAGCTGTCCAGATGGCTTCTTCTTCACTGATGACACCCTTCTTGTAGTACAGCTCCTCTGCTGATATAGAAAAAAAGGTCAGAAATGCCTGTTTTATTTCCTCTGTGGTTCTACCTTAACTGTTCATGTGATTGCTCTGGAAGTTAATATCGAAGAGAGAATCTGAAAGACACAGAACAGAAGGTTTGTCTCTGCAGGTATAGTGGCCAGGGGGGATGCCTGTGCAAGTGTCATGCCCAAGTAGTGATAAATACCATGATTTCTAAAAGCACTGAAGTGAATAGAGAGCCCATGTGTCATCTGCAGATGTTTTACAGCTGGTCTGATGTTAATTGACATTCTTGATAGCTAACGTTAAATCACTTTCAAAATCTTCTCATTCACCAGGCACTCTAAGTATTTAAATACTTACTTGAGGGATTTTTTTTTTTTTTTTATCGCTGCCTCCCAGCATCTTTGTAAATATCCATTGAACTGGGCCTGTCTTATCACAGAACAGGGTAGTAGTGAAAAACCGTGTTCAGCAAGCGGTTCATTAGCAATAAAATGCTAACAGTCAGACACGTCGTCTGCTTCAGTGTATATCAAAAGTATATCAGCCATGCTTGACATGGCCCCTTACACAGGCTCTGCCAAATCAAAGCTTCAGTATAGGACATGGACTGTTCTTCTAGATGCCAGGGATTTATTTAATGTTTAATCTGACTTCTTACCCTAAAGATAGAGCAAAGTAACCCCCACACAACTGAGTTTTTCTCATTATCGTTGCAACCACTAATGTGTGGGTATGTTTTTTTTTTTTTTTTTTTTTCAGGTGTGTAAGGAGGAATCTCTTCTTCCTTGTTGCAGGATGACACAGCAGAACTTCTCAGGTAATTCCACTTTGCTTGAGTATTGGAGATGTCATGGTGCAGACCTGTAAAGTTCTCACATGAACTGCAGGTTTTTATGGAAGCGCAGAATGCAGGCAGCTAAAGGCATTTGTAAAATTCTATAGAAGCCCATAGATATACCCATCTTTTGAGGATAGTTAATGTAAAACTTGTAGTATAGTAAAACTGCAAAACCGATTTCATGCATGAACTGATAATGCCCTCAAAAAAAAAAAATTCTTTCCCCACACGCACTTAATTTTTACAGTGCTCTTGAGATAATTACTGAACTAGTCTACCTAAAAGTATGTTCTCATATTCATTGCCTAAGTATGCATTTAAGTGTTCCACAGAATATCTGTGATACCAGTAATAGAAAAGCCACTCCTTTCCTACGAGTGAATACATTTCTAAGTAGCTGCATGGTGAACCATATTTCACAATATTTTATATAACCTTCCCTAATAGTTACCCTGTGCTTCATGTAGCTGCTTTCTACATTGTTAGCTTGGAGCAGCATAGCAGTTCAGGCTTCCTGGAGCTGCTCTTTTACCCACTGCCTGGGCTTGTTTGCATTCATTACCTTTTTGGAGCGAAATAATAAGAGGGAAAAGGATGGCATATGAGCAGGTTCCTGCCATTTCTTTCTCAAAGCCAGGTGCATACTGCCCTCTTGTGGAACATTTTGGGTAGTTACCAGCACTTGATAAAGGCTTTTTGACTGTTTCCTTTTGCTCCACTGAATGAGGGATATGTAGTTCATATGACGTAGCATTTCTAACTCCCTGATATTAGTGCCAGTGTTTCCTACTAACATAATATATACTTCATTGCCAGTCAGCACGTGTTGTTGGCATAGCTCCATGAGATGCTTTTGGAATTAGGACAGATTAATGCTGTTTTGCAAAACCAAACCAACAAAAACCCCACAGCTATTAGTATTAGAAAATTGCCTTTTCTATAGGTGACACTAAAATACATCTCTATTTATTTTTCACTCTTTTAACTCAACTCAGCAAGAAAACAAGTGATTTAAAAAGGAATGAAAACCTAGGTGTTGATCTTTATGATGTTAGTACATAGGTGTGTTGTCCTCATTTTGGACTTTAAAGTATGTTAGGAAACCAATCAAAGAATGAAAATTATAGAAGAACACTGCAAAATGCATTGACATCCATTCATTGAAAAGAGGAACTCTGGTCACAGAGCTGTACCACCGACCCCTGTGGACTGCAAGGATCTCCACAGGCAGAAAAACTGATGCCCACTTTCCTGAAGACTTCTCCAAGAGGAGAACCTCCTCATACTTGCCATTCATTTCAGACATGTAGTTGAGGTCACCCTTCAGTGTGGTCAAAAATGTTATTTGTGATTGAGGAACAAGGTGCCAAAGCAGTTTTATTACCTTGTTTATAGACAAAATTTGAGATGGATGTACTTGGGCATGAACATCCTCTACATCTTACATATCGTATAACACTTTTTATCCCAGAGGAGTATGCTGGCTAAGGACTAAACATCCTTCTGACTCCTCCCTGATCTGTTTCTGGAAAGGCTGCTTAAATTCACCAGTATAACACACTCATCCCCCTCTGCTGAGAAAATAACTGAGCTTAGCCAGACCACTTATCCCTGTGAGCACCAACGATTTTGGGGGTGAGTTATGTAAGACCATCATAGTTCTAAAAAACAGTTTTAAGCAGACTGAGTTTCCTCTTGCAAATTAAGTCCTGCTAAAAAAAATTGGGTAGGAACTGGGCTGGAGCACCTCCCCTATGAGGACAGGCTGAGGGAGTTGGGCTTGTTCAGCCTGGAGAAGAGAAGGCTGC